CGGATATACGTATAGATGGATGGATGGATGAAAATTTTGACAGGAGGATTGAGGGAAATATGGATGACTGGATGGATGGATTGATAGATAGATAGACGGCTGTTTGGCAGTATAATTGAAGCATGTATTAATGAATGAATGGAGAGTTGGATGGACGATTGACATAAGATAGAAGGAAATGAGGTAAGGAAGGATAAAGGAAACAGTGATGGAAATATAAACGGAAGAACGGATATACGCATAGATGGATGGATAGATGTTTTGATAGAAGGATGGATGAAAAAATGGATGGACGTTTTTTGGCAGGATAAATGAAGTATGGATGAAGAGTTGGATGGAAGATATACGAAATATAGGTTAGAATGAGGAAATCATGATGGAGTGAAACATTGGTGGATACATGGACGTAAGGATGAATGGATGGAGATTTGGATGGAAGTTAGAAGGAAGGTATCAGGGAATGAGGAAAGGGTGGATTGAGGGAAACATTGATGGAAACATGGACGGAAGGACGGATATACGTATAGATGGATGGATGGATGAAAGTTTGATAGGAGGATGCAAGGAAATATGGATGCCTGGATGAATGGATTGATAGATGGATGGACGGATGTTTGTCAGAATAAATTAAGAATGGATTAATGAATGAATGGAGAGTTGGGTGGAAGATTGACATAAGAAAGGAGGGAATGAGGTAAGGAAGGATGGAGGGAAACATTGATGGATACATGGACGCAAGGATGGATATGAGGACAGATATAAAGGTGGAGAGATGCTTTGATGGAGAGATGGTTGCTAGATGGATGGAGGGATGGATGGACGGATGTTTGTCAGAATAAATTAAGAATGGATGGATGAATGGATTGAGATTTGGATGGAAGTTATATCGAAGTTGGGAGGGAATAAAAAAGGTAGGATGCAGGGAAGCATGGAATGATGGATGGATTAATGGATGAATTATTGTATGGAGCTCTTGAGTGAAGGATGGATGGATGCAAGAAGGGCAAACCAGTTTGCCGGGCGCTTCTGTCCATTCATCTGGTTCCTGGTTGTGTTGCTGCTGTCTTACGGGCTAGACGCAACCCGTTGCCCAGTTACGCTAGGCCAAACTTGAAACCCTCTTCTCCGAGGCTTCCAATGCAATCGATGCTTGATGATAAATTGGAGATGAGTCCAGCTAATATCCCCGCAGTAGGAAATTATCTGAAGAAGGCCGTTGATGTAGGACTTGCTCGAAATGTTGAAGCATCTCCTTCCTGCCAGCAGAGCGTCAAGAATAGTCAGGAATAGAAATGGCGGTTCACTCGAAAGCGTCTGAATCTTCTCGAATCGGGCTCAAATGAAGACATCAATCACCAGCCCAGTCGTCAAGGGAGGAGAGGAGAGGCCGATCACAGCTGAACTGATTGATAGGCTTTCGTCGTGGACTCGGAGGCTCGTGGTGCATGCTCACAAACCGTGTCGTTTGTCGATACTCGCCAAAGCCATTGCGGTCACTTCGGGGAAACAACATTTTGCATTATCGAGATACTTTGTAATCGCATGTACTTCCCATATTCAGTGTAGGGCGGGCCTGTTCTGGCAAAGCAGTTAACGTGTATTGGGACAAACAGTTGACAGGTTGGGAGGACGGTCTGTCAAAGACTTCTTGGCACAATTCAACAGACTTTCCTATACGAAAATCCTGCTTCGGTTACCGGAGAGAGCACATCAAGAAATAATTCAAAACAACTTTTCTTTCAAAATGAAGAGTCATGTCACGCTAGAATGGCTAAAGATTTGTCTATTCTGTATATTCCTACTCACAAGTGGAATGAACAATTGGACCATCTACAATCTGGCACTAAATCATTCGTGGAAGGATCTCGCATAGACCTTCAAACCAATTTCTCATAGAAAATCAAGAGTCATGTCACGATAGAATGGTTAATGTTTTGTCTATTCTGTATATTACTACTCATAAGTGGAATCAGCAATTGGACCATTTTCCATCTGGCACTAAAAGATTCGTGGAAGGATCTCGCATGGACCTTCAAACCAACTTTTCCTACAAAATCAAGAGTCATGTCACGCTAGAATGGCTAATGTTTTGTCTATTCTGTATATTACTACTCACAAGTGGAATGAGCAATTGGACCATTTTCCATCTGGCACTAAATCATTCGTGGAAGGATCTCGCATGGACCTTCAAATAAACTTCTCCTACAAAATGAAGAGTCCTGTCACGCTAGAATGGCTAATGTTTTGTCTATTCTGTATATTACTACTCATAAGTGGAATTAGAAATTGGACCATTTTCCATCTGGCACTAAAAGATTCG